AAAAATATTGTAAAAAATAATAGAAAATATCAGAATATATTTTAAACTTATAGCCTGTTGCAAAGAACCTTCTATTTCCTTTATCTATAGTACCTTCGGATCTTTCCTTGACATGCTATTTATTAATTATCAAGTAAGGAAAACATCAACAAAACTTCATTGTCACATAATGTAACGGAACTTAAATAACTAGTTTTCATTTGGATAGTAACAAACATTATTATTAAATATCAATTGAAACATGTGTGTGTGTGCAGTATAATTAATACATGCAGATCAAAAGCATATTTTCAATTTTCTTTCAAAGAATGAAAATCGTCCAAAATATTTGGTAGGTATGTCGATAGATTGGACCAAGGCCAACTTAAGTTGGTTTATGTTGTTTGATGTAGATTTTAGGATTTTTGAAAACTATTCCTTGTTTGCTGATTGACGGACTGTACCATCACCTAACAAAAATTTTCTGGTACCGAAAGTACCGAAAAACGAAAAATCCCGGTTTCTTAGAGGCCTGGTACCGAAATTCCCATTTCCGAAAAACAGCTCCGGTTACGGAAACCCTACCTACGATCGACACTACAGCGACGTTCGACGAATTAAGCCGGGACCCCATTAGGCAACATGCCACGCCATGCCACCCCACGTTATGAAGATCTGTGCGTATGTTTTTCCATTTAATTACATGTGTTGCGTACACATTAGGGCTCACGCCACCCCACGCCACGTCATTCCACGTTACTACACGCTATCACACGTGTGATGGGCAATTCGTCTGTCCCAGATCTCATGTGTACACTCTTCCCCACATCACAACACGTGGGTTCACTTGAGATGGCGTGGCGTGGCGTGGCGTGTGGCCTCATGGGGTCCCGGCTTTAAACTGGTTCATATGCGCATGTAATCCCTGTTCTTTCAGCTCGCGATTGGAATTATTAGCATTGGATTGGGACTTCTAATTTGTTCTAATTTTACGAAATACAAAAATTACATTAGGATGCAATATTTATCAATAAATTTTAGAACAAGGAGTTTTATTTTTTAATAAACTACGATCCTTTATTAATTCATAGCCTCAGGTCAGTATTACACTGTCAAATTTCTTTGTCAAGGATTTTATTTTGTCAAAAAATTTGACAGTGTAATATGTGTGGTTTTATAAAATATTGTATGTTAACATTGAAAATATATTTTATAAAAGATCTTTGACAAAGAAATTTGAGAATGCAATACTGGCCTTAGATTGAAGTTTTGATAGCCCAAAAAGAATCAGTTTTGGGCATAAGCGTGTGACATTTTTTTCTAAGTTTGTGCACCTCCAAAGTATTGTATCAGCCGGCACTAATTTGAATTGGTAATAAATAATAGTGACCAAACAAAATACAAAGCGAATAATTGTCATATTTTGCATAGAATAATATCCGGCAGATCTCGCATTTAAATAAAAAGGTTAGATTATAATTTCAAGACCGTTATCTGACATTGTATTGCATGACCCTGACAATTAGTAAGTATTTAATAAAAATTTTAAAAGAGTCAGCGTTATCTTAAATTATTCTTCCATTTATAATTGTTGTTTCATAATTATATTGAAAGTTATGGTGCAATTGGTTGCATAATTAACATTTATATTTTTATAGATAATTAAAATCTCCTAAACTTATTTAAACTTTTTTTTCTTTAATTAACAACAAGAAAATAATTCGAGTTAATATTCATCAGATCACCTTAATAAATAACTATTTTGTTGACAAAGAAGCCAACAAATAGGTAATATAAGTATATTTGTAATGCCGAGTCCAGATCAAACAGACAAAACAACAAGACAGAATAATTCATGTTTACGACAAAGTGGCAACAAATCCAATATATTTCTGCTATATTTTTATATTATTTTTGTTATTCTTTATAAATCCGGAAACGTTTGCAAGTCTAGTTTCGAATTGGTTTTCAAGACAAGCGGTAGCCGGTAGCTGTAATGTGAATGTTTAGTTCGTCTAGATTTTCAAATTTTCATCGTTTGAAGCTTGAAAGAAGCTTGCACCTGTTTAATGTTGTTACGTAAATCGAACAGCAATAAGTCGTAGAGGATGAATTATTCATCCACGTTGTTATAATCTCGATTTTTTTTAACTTGATTTCTTTTTTTGCAGCTCTTGAAAACGAACAAAGAATTATGAAACTACTTGCTGCTATCATCTGATGTACTTTCTCTTACTCTTGGACAAAATGACACATGCCATATTACTAAATCACCACTTCATTTATTGCAATTTCAAAATACTGTTTGCATAGCTATATATAGGTTTTGTCTTACTGGAGTAGATAGTTGCTTCAATTTAGTCTTGTAAATACTCTTATTTTTATCACAGGTTTGTCTCCTTTTTCCATGGAAATTGTATTTCCACTTTGTCGCTTTGGCCTGGACCCGGCGACATACTTCTAGTTTCTGGACAGTTATATTGTAGAAACAAATCTAGAATAATTGTAGTATTTACAAGGATTAATGACGTTCTTCTCAATGCACACCTATGAAATTGGTGTCTAACTACCCAATCCATAAATTGAAAACTAACACCTGTTCTCAAAGTTAACTCTTTGGTCAAAGCAAAATACAAAGAAAAAGGCCAAAGGAAAAATTGCCACAAAAATTGGTGAAAAGAGAATTACTGATTTAATTTGAATACCTAATAAATGAAATTTAACACCTACACCTCCCATTTGAAAATATTCAATTTTCCATTACAAAAATGCTGACAACTAGAAACCGTTAGATGTATTTTTTTCTCTTAAATATCCCAATACAATGCACTACCAGTCATGATCTATGCATACGAAACCTGGACACCTAAAACGGACATTTATCAGGAAACTGCAGGTCGCACGACGCTCAATAGAGACATAATAACCAAGAGAGACCGTAAAAGAATAACATAGATACGACAAAAGACCCAGGTAATAGATATCATCCACAAAATCAAATCCATCAAGTGACAACGGGCAGGACACATGGCAAGAAGGACGGACAACAGATGGACCACAAAAATTACAGTATCATACCCTCGAGGAATTAAGAGCCCTAGAAGAAGATCAAACCTGAGATGGGACCATAATATTAGGAAATTAGCAGAAATGAGCAGGGATAACTTAGGCCCGCATAGCCAACAATAGACAACAATGGGAGGGAGGCTACACTATAATTGGTGATGTTTGAATAAGCTGAAAATGATGATAATGAAAAAAAATATCCCAATTAGGGAAAACACCATACTTTAATGCGCTTAAAACGCAAAGTTTTAGTGAAAAAAGTGGCTTAAAACAATAATTAATTATTAAAATTAATAAGTCACTAAAATACTCCGTCATTACAGGGAACGACTGAGATCAGGCAATACGTGAATTGACTAGGCATTTCAGAGAATTCTTTATTTAACGCCAATATATAATAAACTCTTTTATTTTAATAATTTTAATAAACTTCATAGAGGCTCTAACATAATAAAAGTATGTCTCCCCTTTAGATTATCTTACTCTGAGGTCTCCCCATAAAAGGATATTTTTTAGGTATTGTTCGAGGTATTGTCATTTTATTATTAACAAGTTTCGGTTATTCAAAAATTCTATTTAAAAAGCTATACCACTCAAAACTCCTGTTTTTGAATCATGACGTGAAAAACCTTGTCCTTGGCTTTAGTAAATTATTAAAGAGATGAAAACCAAGAACAAGGTTCTTGGCTCTCAATGAAAATGCAGTACAAATATTTTAGTCAACATTGTTGTAAATTAAAATAAACGATGAAAATTACTGTAATGGTCCAATAAACTTTAGGAAGAATCGGGGTCAGGGCAAACGAATAAGTGCATTTCAATAAGATATTTTTAAAGAAAATTTACGTTTGTTCCAATCTTTTCGCTGATGATCAACTTTAAAGGCATTATAAGAACTGACCATCGGATTTAAAATGTCTCTAGAAAAGTAAAATAAAAATACTAGATTTAAAATAACAAAACAATTAAAAGGAAACATAATAACCATAATTAATAATTTAATTAAGGATTCTAACTGATGCTTGCTAGTCTACAATCACTTACGTATATTATACGTTTTAGTGGTCTAACCCGAGGTCTAACCCTTGGTGTTTTTCAATTCTAAACATCATTGAGTCTTTTGAAATTAATAGTCACAATCAAGATTGAAATAAATTAAAACAATTGATTTGAATCCATTTTTAAAACGTGATTAAAATCACATGTTTCTTTAAATTTTAAAATGTGATCAGCACGCAATATCAATCAGCAAGAACATTTTAGCGAACCAGAAAGTTGTCTGGTTACCGGAAAAAAGAAATAATCATTCATAATAATCAACTCATTGTCATTGTCACTCCTACCAATTTCTATAAAATCTCTGATAAAATTGTATTTATTGTGCTTACCATCGTCCGGGTATAAACATAAACACGTAGAATGGCAGTCGAATTTGTAGTGCAGTGAAAAGGGAAAACCTCGGGGAAAACAGAAACTGTTACGCCACAGTTAACAATTTTTATTAATATGTTGTTGGTTTGGTTTGATTTTTATTATATGGGTAGTGTTTAAACGCTCTGTATTAGAGCAATATTTTACCAAAAATCGACATTTTGGTGAATTTTTATTCCTGTCAATTGAGGAGCAGACTTTCTAAACGCATTTTGTCCATTTTTTCGAATTTTGGCAAACAAAGAAAAACTGCCACGCTTTTTGCAAGAATTGTGATGCTGGTAAAGAGGATGCAATATCCAATTTTGATGGCCCGACCGTTGGGTCAACGATGTTATTGGCAGTGTGTGGCCCGCTTCACATAAAATAGGAAATATTTATTTATATACAAATGAATCAAAATAGTGTCTATAGTTTTTATTTATGTAAACAATTAATTAGTTTTATAAACTGAAGAGAATTGCACTGCATTTTGCATGCATATCATAGAAAAATTATAAGAAAACAAATCAAAACATACTTACTACGTGAAAGTCGATGATCTTTTATGGTATCTTGAGCAATCAGCTGTGCCTAACAGCGTTGCCAAACCACGCCTGACGTAAAATAATTTAGTGGCTCGTGTGGCAACCTAGAAATCCTGTATCGATCTTCAGCTCGTCAGGATGACAGAATCACACCCGTAAATAATTTTTTTAAGCACTAACTATCAGTTTATGACACTGTCCACTGTCAATTTAGTAGTAAACCAAACATAAAAGGAAAACTAAGCGAATATGTCACATATCACCGCATTTCACTGACACAGACCTAACAATCAGACAAAAGGTGAAAGTATTCAAATGCTAGCCTGAGATTGAACATAAATAACAATATCCAATTTTGAATTTAAATAAGAGATGGTAATACAAATGACACGCTACTTAATAAAAATATAAACTAATTAATATCTAGGTGGCTTAGTTTTAAAAACAATTGACTCCAGTCCACCTACAGTGATGTCAGATTTAGAACTGGCAACTGCTATGGAGTGTCGCACTAATAAACAGCGTTTTGAATTAAATCGAAGAAAAAGTGTTTCGGTTGTCATGCGCAAAGTAGTAAACGTAGTAAGCGTTTTTCATACAATAAAATGTACGTAAGAGGGTATGGAACATTTTCTCGCGATATGGAGTTCTTTATATTAAGATATTATAAAAGATGGGCTTGCTTTTAGAATAAATCATACTTACTAATATTATGGACATAGGGGCCTACAGTTTAGAAATTATACTTATTATGATGTGTGCAAATTGACAAACAGAAAAAATAGTGCGAAAAAATTCAGGAGATTATAGGTATATCGCTTTTTCAAAATAAAAGTTTTCGTATATTTTTTTGTTTTGGCGTTTCCTTACAACCACAGCTTACACCGCATCTAGAGATTGAATCTGGGAGGGGTATAAATATTTAATAATTTAATAAGTATTAAATTTAAATTAAATTTTCTTTGAAAGGTAGGTATTCTGTGGACAAAAATAAACTTGGATTGATCTGGATTTTCAATTTTGATTGGTATTAATAATTTCTTTCGTGGAGATTTTATTTTATACCTCATTTTATGTGAATTATAAATTTCTTGCTGTGATTAATACCATTACTCCTCCCGTATACGCGCCCCTGTATAACAATTTTTACATTTTTTTTAAAGTTGCCGAAGTTATTCATACTTTTTAATTTACACTCTTTATAATAAAATGAATATAATGTGAATTAAATCAACCAACGACATTAAAAATATTCTCTATGAGCTATGAGATCAATACCCTTAAGTGGCGGCTGGCTCTAAAGGATACAGAGACGCCACGTGCCCTTTAAACCCCTCTATACAAATGAGTTGTACAGTGCTTTAGGCATTTTAGTACATTTTTGACGGTTTGGTGCCCATATAAATGGAAAGAATAGGTATTCCCAATATTCCATGGACTATAGAACTACCATCTATTCTCCGTTCTATCCTTCCATGGAGGATAGAACTACTACGTATTTTTGGAATCAAAATAAGTTCATTAAACACAATTTACCTATATACAAAAGTACTTCGTTTATCCGTTAGAGGGCAAAAAAATATAAAAAAATAAACACATTTTTTCAGTTATTTTAAAAACCGTTATCCCGATTTGAATGAGATTTTGGGTGGTTTATGTTTTGCTAATAAGCGTTTTAACATTTAACTTTCACAAAAGTTAAGAAAAAGTACGGGAAGGGTGAAAACTACCCCCATCCCTATATGAATATAGTATAAATATTTTCCAACTCAATCGACAACCGATTCTTTTTTTCGTAAAATGGTCCTTAAAGTATATACTACATTTTTTGTCTTTTGGAAAAAAAACTCCACAGCGTATACTTTTTGAGGAAAAAATATATTTTTCCAAAGGTGACTTGAAAATGCGTTTTTGCTATGGAGGCGAATAAAATCTATTATGTTCTAATGATCTAGTTGGCAAAAATATGCATTTTATGTTAGTATCGTAAATTATATTTGACAATAAGCTTCATAAAAAGCTTAGAAAAAATAATAAATTAATTAACGTTCGGGTTGTTTTTTTATTGATGACCTCTATGACAACCGAAGCACTTTTGTATAAAGGTAAATTATGTGACATTAACTTATTTTGATTAAAAAATACGTACTTTGTTCTATTGCTATACGTTCTTTGTTCCACGGAATATTGCAACTCCCTGTATATTTTGTATATCTGCTTTGGAAAAATTAATTCTCCAAAAATTTTCAAAAACTATACGATGTGGCTTTTTTTACAAGAGACAAAAAATTTAGTAAATATGTACTAGAGGGACCATTTTATATATATAAGTCCGGTTCTACAGCGTGATCCGCCTTCCGGTTCCTTGCCGCCATTGCCTTCTGTCCATCCAGTCATCGGCTTGTAAATTGCGCAATGACATTGCCTTTGTTACCCCCTTTAACCATGTCTCTCGGGGTCTTCCTCGTTTTCTTTTTCCAGTTGGGATCCATTTCATTATATTCTTTGGTAGCCTTTCTTCTCCCATTCTGTTTACATGCCCATACCAGATTAATTGTTTTTTTTTTTGGATTTCCTCTATGATGGTTATCTCTTTCTTCGTTATTCTTCTTATTTCTTCATTTCGCACTTTTTCCAATTTTGATTTTCTTGCCGATCTTCTGAGGAAGTCCATTTCAGTTGCTAAAAGCTTTCCTTTCGTGGACTTGCTCATCTGCCATACTTCAGCGCCATAAGTAAGAGTGCTCCAGTGAGGGCCTATATTTTACGAAAAAAAATCGATCGTCGGTTGAGTTGGAAAATGTACGTGTGAGGTTCAAGTTAACGTCTCCTTTCTGCTGCAATGGCTAAACTGGACGGGACCTACTTTGTTTACGCGGAATTCGAACCGCGGTCCTCGGCCATATCATGGTCAATGGCCTACCGACTTAGCGAGTGTCTAAATCGACTCTTACTCACGAGATATCCGATCTCATCCGGCCTCAAACCGGCGCGGCGTGAATGAGCAGTGTGTGTCAATAGATTTTACACTCTTGCCTTATTTGGACAACAGCACGATGCAAAGTTTCGAACCGGTCACCCGTCCATTCACTAGCATCGCCTTACGTCGCTTAACTTCGGTGTTCTAATGGGAACCGGTGTTTCGACGTAGCTGGGCCGTTGCCCTGAGTTGGAAAATATTTATCCTAAAATTTATGTAGAAATGGGGGTAGATTTCACTTTTCCCGTACTTTTTCTTAGTTTTTGTGAAAGTCAAATGTTAAAGCACTTAGCAAAACATAGACACCCCAAATCTCATTCAAATCGGACTAAAGGTTCTTGAAATATCTTAAAAAAATTGTTCATTTTTTTAAGTTTGGTGCCCTCTAGCGGCCAAATTAAGCACTTTTGTATAGAGGTAAATTGCGTCCAATAAACTTATTTTGATTCCAAAAGTGTCAAGGATGGAATTATTCGATATATAAAATAACATATTTAATATTAATATATTTCGTAAAATTAATAATTCGATTGAAAGGAAGTATAAAATAATTAAAGTTCATTGGCATTTACGCAACAAAAGTAAAGTTTTAAAAATCAAAGTTATAAGCATAATTGGCAATTGCGAAAATATTTCCTTTCAATACTACGAATTTATAAAATCATCAAATCAGCACTAACGCGGTCATCGCACCGGTCATCGCACCGATAGACCAATAATGCTGATTCGATGATTCGACGTAACGAACCAATAAATACAAAAATGTCACCTGTTGGGGGGACAGTGGATGGTCGACAGTCGATAGTCGATAGTAAGTTCGATAAGGTCGCGGTCGAGATTCCGGCATTGGCGTTACACTACCCTGACACTACCCCCGAGCCAGTGATGATGTTCGTCCATAAATATAATATGTAAGTACACATTTAGTTTTATAATTATTTTATTATTGTAGATTAATTAAATTGATCATTAAGTTAAATTGAAGTATTTATTATTTGCTATGCCCCTAGTCATAACCCACAAAATGGGCCGTGACATATGTGGTGGAGGCGCCGGTTTTTATTAAGTAACAATTTCTTACACATCTCCGTATGTGATGGAGGCGATTTTTATTTTATAATTATTCATTAATTTACGAATAATGTGCATGCCAATTCATAATTCCAACATTTTACGGTAGTTAGTAGATATGTTTTTTTTTTCTCTAAGTTTGTCTCTCGGAATCTAAGTTCATTTATTCATTTTACTTTATATATTTAAAACATGGCGAAAATACAAATAATTAAAATACATCATATACGATTTTTTTTAATACTTCGATAGCAACGAACAAGCTTACATACTTTTACTTTACATTTACTTCAATATATTTTTTCATTAAATGTCCAGTATTTTTTACACTATTTAGAGAGAAAATGCTGTCGAATCCTTATTGTTTAATTTTTCTTTTATCACTGCATATGGTAATAATTTTTGTGAATGTTGAGAATTTTTATTATTGAGAATAATTTATTTATTTTTATTCTATAAGGACACATAAAACGACATCCAGTATATTGATAGACAGTATATTTTAAATTATTTTTAGTGTTGCCATGATAAATATATAATGATAAATATAATTTTTAAATGAGAATTTTATTATTTCAGTTATTTAAACTGTAGAATTTAACCTGTTGGTTGAATATCATTATCAAGGATGACACTGACCTAGAAAACATTATTCTTGTTACGAATATTTTTAATTTTGAAATATGAGTGGTAAAGGAGGCGACCATATTTATTTGATTCATTTTACAAAAACTGCTGACTTAGTTGGAACTGCATTATACGTCTGTGTGTGTTGAAAAATGTATTTCATTACATGATATACTGAGCGAATAATTATCGCTTTAATGATAGTTTAGAATTTATTTATTTTATTATTATTTAAATTGATTTTTTTAAATATATTTTAATGTCTTTTGTAAAAGCACCTGTTCTACCGGAATTTATACCGCCACCTACTTTTGACCCTACAATCGACTGCCCAATTTCTTTTATTCGAGAATATGATAAAATAACTAGTAAGAATGGCTGGAATTATGCTTTTAAGATAAAATATTTAGAATGTTACTTAGAAAACGCTGCTTTTTATTGGTATAAGGAATATGTTAATGACAAAAATAATTTTAATAAAGTCTGGAGCGATATCAAAAAAGATTTTATTTTAGAGTTTGGAAGTGAAATATCACTACGCAAACTAAAATCTAAATTCCGTACACGGAAACAGGGAAAAAATGAAGATATAAAATCTTATTATTACGATTTACTATCAATTGCATATGAAATATATGGTAAAGTAAATTTTGAAATCTTTAAAGATCAATTCGAATATGGTTTACATGAATCGTATAATTACCATTATTATTTACTGCTTACCGAAAATATGAATTTCCAGAGTTTGAAAAATATAATCTATAAAATAAGCGATTTAAAAGATATATTATTAGAATCCAAAACATCAGCATATTCCAGAA